ACGACTCAGTATGTCGATTGCGAAACCGTTCGGTCCACTGATGCATTGTATTCAAGATGTTGAGAAAGCGGCATTTTATTGCGTTAATAACAAGGGAATTGTCTATGGGTGAAATCTGACATCGATAATCAATAAATTTTATGAGTGTTAGACACGGCTTATATCAATCAATATTAATGATCATTTTTGAATTTGGAACTAATCGATGTGTTTAAATTTTTAATGTCCATAGATTACGAATCACACGTAGATATAAAACGATTAGCCACAAGCGTTTGAATTTTAAAATGAGTCGAGTGACCATTGATTGAAATTTTAAATTACGATTAGAGCCAGAAAGTAAAAAAACCTATTTATATGAAATATTTTACTTATGATGCAAAAATACCTTGATGGCAAACGTATTTCAAATTTCGTTTCCCCTATTTTCTCAAGGCTGTTCTCACGTGCCAAATGTAATGTATTATTTCAAAACAAACTTAGTAATAATTCAATTAAGTTGAATTTTGTCCTGTAAACTAAGAGCGCCCGTTTTCATATTTCCATTATGAAGTAATTACTAAAGTGAGTATCTACCCATTGTTTATGGAGCAACTACGTTCCGGTGAGATCTGTGCCTCAATCACGAGTTTATAGTGACAGCTGTCAATTTTCTATGACAACTAAGACCACGCTTCAGGCGGTCACAAGGAGAAGTAAAATTTCTCATATATTTACTTTACATGATCGCTATCGACAACTATCATACTTAAAGTGGTTACACACACCGACGCCTTAAAGTCACTTGTGTGTGTAAAGGTAGAAAGGTAGGCTGTTACAGTCATGATTGAGACACTGTGAGCACACAAATAATTTGCCTACATCGATGATTCCCAAAGCAGTCTATATTGACCTCCATGGGTCCACTCCAACTGACAAGGGATCCATATTAGTGTAAAAAAAAGGGAGATGCATTAGATTTTAATGGAGTCCACCAAAACTTTGGGTGATTAGTACATAATGTTTTCTTATAATAGACAAATAATTTCCCTTTCAAGTTCTTCAATATTTCACTACAAACAAGATTATCGGTTAGACCAATGTATAAAAGATAACATGATTTTTTTATAAAGTTTATTACAAGCCTTATGTCAGCTGTTAAACACACATTTAAAGTTAATGAATTTGTAAAAAAAGTATTAGAAAGGTTGGGAACCTCTGGCCTATATAGTCAACACGATCCCTACGAGTTTTTGCCCTATCGAGGAAAGCAGTGGAGTAAATTTTTTTCATATGACAGTTTCTTGCAAGAACAACGATGACCAAAAGACCTGTAAAGGACCCGAAACGTTGTTTTGTTTGAAAATAAAAACGTACGCAATTTATATCCGAGAAACTAATATCGTTTCCAATAAAAATATAATTTTTAAATGCCGCAGGCAACAAGAGTGATTAAGATGTACCTATACAAAACTTATGACGCAAAGTGGTACGTATTCAGTCTTTTCTTGTTCAATAGTCAAAGGCGCTGAATACCCTTCTAAGGGTCAAATCTTTAATGCGATGTCTCCGTAGGGAAATATTGGGATATTTGTAACAGGTGTATTATTTGGGTATTAGTTGGGAAAGTTTGTAAGGCTTTTGTTCATTTGTTAATTATTATTTTTATGTTGTGGCTTCTCAATTGAGTCGATAATATGATTCAAATTCCGATGGCGACATGTATATCGATCTAAGTTAGGAAAGAAAATTCGCAACCCTAAACCTTCTACTTAGAGGAGTCCCGTGCCCGGCAGTGGGACATATATTCGCGACAATTATTATGTTGACAATAATAATTTTAGTTACTTTGTTCTTTTCACATTACTTTTACACAATTTTTAAATTAATATCTAAGTACATATAGTAATTTACTTTCTACTGTAGACTGGCACTTTTTATTTAACATGAGTGCATTTAGAAATAATTTTACTTCAAGAATAAGTCTAAAAAAATGCTTTTCAATAAACAACTAAGATAAGCAATACACATACTGAACAAACCATACACAAACAACAAAAAAAAAACTTCGCAAAAGTTGCAGGTCACGTGGAAGTCACGTGGTCTTGGTGAAAAATCGCGCAGCCGCGCGCTCCTTGCGTGCTCCCCTCCCCCCCTGATCCTTTCTAAGCCGCGTGAAGATGTGGGGAGTACATCTATACACGAACGTGCACCCCACGATACTCAAATTGTGAATGAACGTGGGCGCTTGCCTTTTTGCCTTTGACTGTCCCGACCCAACTTTTTCAATTTTTGTATTCCAACTAACTTATACGTGGGTACTTATTAAGATGGATTTTGTTAGAGGAAGTTTGTAACAAAGAGAGGATTTAATAAGAAATGATGACAATCAATATTAAATATTTTATTCTATACCATTTGGCTACATAATAGATCAAAGCTAATAACGCTTGATTCATACTATACTAATTTAGTTTTTTTACAATTAGAAAAACTGTAAAAACAAAGAAGCAGTGACTATAAACCTTTTTCATCATACAAAAAACTACAGTAAATGTAAGCATCGTGAAAATTTATAACAAATGCCACGATAATATGCTGTTATTTTATAAAAGGTTTTCGTTTACTGTTTGGAACCTCGGTTTCATTAAGTTTTATAGCGCAAGTCTTTGAAAGAGAGATGTCTATTCGCTTGCACTATGGTACGCTATGATGGCCATTTTGACGTTTGGCCCACTCATCAAGTTTTGTAATTAATTCATAACTACATTGAAAGAGCTAATTGCTGTGCATTGTTGTCAACAGTGACATGCAGTAAAATTTATGGATGTATAATTTTAGGACACAACACGACATCTGTTTTTCGAAATTCGAAATTTAAAAAAATTATATCTAATACGATCGTCACTTAGGATCGCTGTCCAGCACAACTTCTACCTCCGGCAAACTCGCGTCAAAGCTCAATGCAAAACAAAGCAGTTTCGAATTGACGATTATTAAGTAAACATTTTTATTTTCGTTTTATTAAATTTTTTTAATCAACTACCCCTTACAAAACAGGTTATAAATCTAAAAACTTATAGATGCGACTCGCATTTGATAAATTTTTTTTCGATAATGAATTGAGATTTGACCTCATTATAGTGATTTGTCAAAACGGCCATCATAGCGTGCTGGCACTATAGTGCAAGTGGACTTATAAAGACAGAAAAGTTTCATTTAATCTTTAGTAAATGGTACAAGTAAAAAAACGTAACAATTAACGTAAAGGTAGTAAACTGAGCATTTCGACTATTTTGTTTCATTACAAAAATACTGAATGGATTATCGCCTGATAAAAGACCTAAAATTTCCTTCTGACTAATGCTAAAAAAAGAAATATAACTAGCTATTCTGCCCTCCTTGTCGTAACTAACGCATTACATTTCGGTAACTGTTGTGATATTGGCACCTAACGTTTCATTATTACATTAAAAAATGTCAATTGCGCAGATTTTGCTAATAAAACTGAAACTAAATAGAGGTTGAATGGAAGGAAATAAAGCGGTTATAAAATATAAAATTTGCCAAATAGTCGATTACGTAAGCTACGATAAGGAATTCAAATTGTTTAATACTTAAATTTGTAATTGAACTTTGCCAATTAAGCCACGGAACGACTCAGCGGACCTGACGAATTTTTGTAAGTGTTTGTTGTTGGATCTTTGTATTTGGTTTTTCAACGACTTTTTAGTCGTATTTTTTTTTGTTTAATACTGTTCAGGGTTTTCATGGGACAGGTACTTGAGATATTAGAAAATATCACATAGGACAAGGGTTGAGTAATAACTTACAATGGAATCTCTGCTTTTCAAGAATTATAATTCAAATGAAAATAATATTTTTTTGGCTTGTTACACAGCTGTATTCAGGTGTTAAATTTTATTGTGCATAAGACACCGAGCTTTTCATTGGTCAAAATATTCAAGTGACCGATATTGGGCCAATACACGATTCGTCTGTTGTGCGCGCCAAATACACTTAATTTTTTTTTAATTACCTTCGTGATCAATTAGGTATTATTGAGATAGGCCTGTGTTCCGTAAAGCATTCGTTACACGTATTTTGTATTTGTATTTGAATAATAATAATAGTTGGCCTATATATAAGTTCCATTACTGGGCACAGGCCTCCTCTCACAATGAGAGGGTAGTTCTCACGCGGGCCAAATACGGATTGGGAACTTCTACATATTTTTTATAATAATTATTACATTGCTTTTCAGTGTGCAGGTTTTCTCACGATGTTTTACTCCGCCGAAAAGCTAATGGTAAATTTCAAATAAAATTTTGCGCATAAATTCTAAAAAATTCAAAGGTGTACCTGGGTTGGAACCCTCTTGCTTGAGAGGCGGTAGATCAAACTACTTATTAGGTTACCACGGCTTTGTATTAGCATTTATTTAAAATACTTACGTGGTGTCCAGTTAATGCACGTTTATTTTAATTTATATTTTGTGTATTAAATAATTGAGGTCAAAATATTATAATTTATATCATACGTTTTCAATACATTTTTCGAAAGTCTTTTATATTTTAAATACGTAAAAGAAAGGGTTCTTGTAAGTTATTGTTTTGACCTGCGTATGACTAATCATGACACCTCAACCAATAAACAATTACGTGCTGTTTTCTGTCGATTAATACACAAAAATAAAATTAAAAAGCAAAATAATGACATTAATAATGTATCTCGATTAGTTCTCTTTAATAACAATGGTACTTAACTTAAATTTCTTTATATTTACATGTACTTCACACTTTTAAGGATCCTGACACACGTTTTCGCCTCATCGACATTAGTTATTCATTACGTCAAAATCATGACCTACTAGTCCTAGATATATATGATATAGACCTAGTCTGTATAATACTATACAGACGCGATGTGGTGCACCTTAAGCACGCTTATCAATAATCGACCTTATTAACAAGAATAACAAATCTAATACCAACCATTATGATGGCGTCTTTGTTGTGCAGTTGGTGACCCCGTCCGCGACGACCAGCAAGCTGTTTTACCCCTACCTGAAGACGTCTTCCCTGCACAGGGATTTCCTGTTTGCCAGTGGCTCCGGTAAGGCGATTGAAATGCTTTTTTCGCTATTTCCTATTTTGAAAACTGCGCCTAGTATCTTTCGCTGAAGAGAAGCAAATATTATTATTGAAAAAGTAAAACGTAAACGACAAAAATATAACAACAAATTTCTTAAAACCTCTTAATCAATTGATTTGGTCACCAAAGCCAATCCCATAAACCAAACGAAGATTCAATCAACCAAACAATAAAAAAAGCTTTAAACGAATTATATTTCAAGAACGAACGTAGTGGCATTCAGCAATGGACATATTGGATCTAACGATTAAAACGCTTATCAGAACAAAACCTTGGCTTCATCATGAGACTTCTTTTTCTTTTTAGTAGCAATAGAGCTCATTGTGAAAGTATTACCACCTTACCTATTTCTCCCGCCAAGCTGTAACGTGTGTGAGTTTTGGTTTTGCCTAGTCAACTTGTCTCAGAGTGACGGGCTTGTCCGTCCTTGTTCGTCTTGTTATTTGGTATCATAAAAAAAGGCAGTATTGATATAACAATGACCTCCTTCATCGTTATTCCACCTTTTTATCACGCTCTTTACTGGTTCCTGGCCATTTACTTGCAAAATTTTGAATCGTTTTTCATTCTACTATTCTTACGTGGGTTCGTTCCGTCATGCTTCCCATAAAATTCTTAAAATAAGAGGACGTGCTCTATAGATCATCCTCATGTAAAACTCAATTCAACTTCACGTCATTTACTGTTTTTAAATCATTAGATATATGTATATAGGTTCTCTTGGGATAAGTGTCTGGACTGTTTATGGACTATTTAGTAGGAAGTGTTTTATACTGATTGTACTTTTTATATCATTTTCTTATTTTGTTATAGCCTTTTCGTTTTCTACTTCTTAATAAATTGATGTGGACCGAGCCTCTTCTTTCGCTAGGGCTAGGCCAAAACTTAGAACTGTTAAGAAACTCTGCAGTATTTTTTTTAATATAACCAAATTTATCGTATTCAAAAATTGGCAATTTATATGGGACTTTTATTTTTCGTTATAAGGTTGCTTTTATCAATTACAATGAAATAAATTGATAATATACGTCAATCTCTATGTATATCTAACTTACTTACAACCTATTACATTGGCCATAAACACGTTACAATCATTTAAAATAGTTAACAAAACCTTGTACAAAATTCCCTTCATACAGTTTAAATATTAACATTAGACTTAACACTAAACGGTAAAAGGCATAAATTCATTCCATCCGACATATGCTTAAGATAATCACGAAACATAAATTACAAAACGTAGTAACGTAATAACAGAGTAAAATACACATAAGTAAAGTATTTTATCCGTAGATCTCTTTTATGGTGCGTAACCGCATAAAAACTATTAAGAATTTGGGTGTTGTTTGCTTAGTGCCCATTAATTCTGTATTATATGCTAGGATTTGGATTATTGGTTTACTTATTGGAATCGATTGTGAAGAGAATATATTCACATGATGTTAAATAATGGAAAAACAAGCCACCCTCAGCGTGGCAACAGACACTGTTGAGACTCTGTTAAGTCCAGTCAGATCGAACATCTTTGTAAAAATCTTTGTGTTGTGTGAATTTATCTTTGTTTCAATAAAAATAGCAATATTCAATAAACAAATAATGGAATAGAACTAATGACACAAAATAAGCTTGCTGTAAAAGAACTGACAGAAAAATTTACCTTTAACACGTCGTCAGAGGCAGGAAGCGCAGTAGTTTTCTGGTCACTGGAGGCTTCAACGAGTAGAATTAAAATCTTGGTAGCTATAAGTTTCGCGTATGACTCCTCGGGACATAGGATGTCCACTGCAAAAGGCACAAAGCACAGAGTGAGGTTTGCAGTTCCCATCTGCTCTGTCAGATGAATATTTTCTTGGCGTTTAATCCATAAATTTTATTACATAAAGACGAGAATATTTTTCATATACGTATTAAAAAGAATAGGCTCTAGGAGGGTGCCTTGTGGAACACTGGAAGTAATTGGTTTTTTTTTTAGATTAACCGTGGATCAGTGTGAATAGTTAGGTAATATTTGTGTATTCTAAATAATAAAACCGGGGAGTTTAAAAATGAATCACCCAAGTGCCGAAAGCTACCAGTTGGTCGGGTCGGAGGAAGCGGAATTATCTTCTTTTTTGTGTTTATTATTGGCATGACATGCATCAGTGTACAGAAAAGTCTTCAATAGGTTTATGCGACTCCGCTTTATGTATTTTTACTTATTATAAGCTATGTATGTTATAAATAAATGAAAATAAGTTAAAATAATGTACAGGTTATTTTCCTGTTTTTTTTTTATTTTATAGAACTGGAAATAAAGCTATTTTTTTCTCGATTCTAAATAGCGTGTATTTGTTTTTCTTTTCAAACAAACCAACTTTCGGACTCCTTACAGGATTGTTTGAAAACACGATTTAAAGGTATAAGTAAGTATAAGTAGCAAAAAAAGGTATTTTACATTATGCATACGAGGGTTTTAAATATTCTTATAATTAATACAGATTTAACCTTTTAATGCATATTTAAACAGGTTACGAGTAGCTCAAATCTATCGTCTAAATTGCTTATTGAAAAACACCATTGGATTAAAGGGTCTAGATGATCCATTATTGGACCATAATTAGAGTTGAGCGCTCGAAATTCTAATCTGTGTAATTGAGTAGTCAATCGATCATTGTTCGTACGAATTATATCGATTTTATTATAGTAAATTCGATTATGCTTTATAAGTTACTTTGTTAATTTATCTTGTACTTTGCATTTTAAAATGATGATAGAATTATAGGATTTATTATTTGGTCTATTTTTCTTTGTTTTACTATTTTTTGTCCCTATTGTCATGAACTTCAACTTTAGACACGGATCTCGTTTAAAAACATAGTTTTCATCCAGTTTTAACACTAAACTTGTTTTCTAATAGTTGAATAAACTCATTGCATGCAGATCAGAATAATCCAAAGTAATAATCGTAACTTGAAACTAAAACGGTATTTGGGCCACGATTCAAATAATACCATTAGCTCTAACATCAAATCTGATTCATCAATAACTATGGCTTCAATAGATCAATGGCTATACCTAGTTCTCTAAATTGTTGCTCAACACCTTCTAAGCCAGTACTAAACACTTGAATCTTACTTTAAAACGACATGAAGTGGTCAGATTGGGCTGTTGCAGGTTTCAATTATGAGGCAAACGAGAGGCGATTTTTAATTCGCCCTTTGTTTTTTTCATTGCAATCTAACCCCGACGTTTATTCAGTTTGTAAATCGTCACTAATACCTTAAGCCCTAAACGTTATCCAAAAGTGAATACGTGTGTCCATAATTGTGTAAGTCATCTTGTCTGAGCCGGCCTTACATCGCGGCGATCGCCCGATTAGATCTCCTCCAAGAACTGCCCATAAATTCCACCCTAAAACAACCGCTCTGTTTAGTTTGGAAGCTCCCATCCCAGTAATTATACAATAATTCATACTTTAATAAATACCAATAAATCCTTCCCTCAGCTCCGCCGCATTATCAACCATTATTACACGATGTAATTACACCCAATAAATTACCAAATAATACATCAATCAGATGTGTTATAATTTTCTTATTATTATTTTTTATTTTTATCGGACAACGGGCAATTTTATTAAAATTATAATGCAGCGGAGCGCTCTTAAATTGGGGTAGCTCGAGGCAAGCTCGCTTTAATTATATACGTAATGTTTAATGATATATTCTTATAATAAGCTACCTGATGTTCTTGGTATAAGTTGAGCATAAATCAAATATTTCATTAAAATTCGGAGCGCTTCCAACCCTTCATTTGGCGCTGTTATTAGCCGGTATAGGATTGCTCGCGAATCATCTAACATTATACACGTACCTACTTAACTCTGAATAGCATTTTTGTTCTGACGTTGATTAATGGGATCAATTTGTTGGGCCGTGATTGTGATTTTGCCAAATTTTGTGTTGTCTCCTTTTATAGGAGATTACTTATTGAGTGTGTTGACATATCAACATGTTGACACAGAGCTTTGAGTTACAAGACTACAGTATGAATTAGAGTAATACGAATCAAATTTAATCGCGATTAGTTATACACTAATATATCAAATAGTTCTTGGACAAAGAAAAACGAATTACAAAAAAAAAATCTCCAAAAAAATTTGGATGAATTTTTAAATCGTAGCTATTTAGAAAAGAGATGACTCTCACTTAAAAAAAACAATAGTTATTTTACTTCTAAACTGAAATTCCTAACTTATAACTCGTTTAAAATAAGGTTATTTCTTAAACCATTGAGCGTCATGTAACATTAAACATATATTTTTTGTAATCATTAAAAGGTGTCAGCAGCCCCCGGGTATGATTTAATTCGTAATTATCAACATTAGAAAATAAATTATACAGTAATTCGTGTGGAAGAACATTAGTATACTTTTTATAAGAAGGATTAGGTTTATTTTTGACGTTCTGTTTTTATGATTTAGAAACTATACAGCTTTCCTTAGGTTTACTTATTTATTTGAATTACCTGATTCAGATTACAGAAAAGCAAATGATTACGAACGAAGACTCACACAATTACTTTTAAAGAAAAAAAATATGGACTTGTAAGAAATATAGAAATGTTTAACACAAAAAATGGATTTACAGCAAAAATGTAATGATATATTATTTAACACTTTACGAAAATTTGACCATATTGCAGAAATACCACCAACATCTGTCTTGAATCTCTTCGTTTTTTATTGTATATAAATAATTGAGATCATAGAACTAAACCGTTGGCAACCTTGTGTAGTTCCTTGCAGCACAACACGTGTGTTCTCTTATTTACCAGCTGAATGGGACATCATTCAAATTTATACCATAAGTACAGTAGGTGCTTAGACTCTTGTATCTAAAGAAAACCCACGACCTTCATCAAAATCCAAGTAATAACCCAATAAAAAAGAAAACTTTAAAAAGAAAAAAGACTAGACCCTA